ACATAAGATGTTAGAGTATAAATAAGATGATTCCAATAAAGAACAACGCAGATTTTGTTATGCGACCTGCTAAGTCGCAGCTAAAAACAAAACGCGTTTTATTTAATAATAAAACATTGTCACTATTAATTATTTACCTATATTGTTTAGCGATGACAGTAGAACATTTAAATGTTTCTTTACTGTTTCAGTTTTAATTTTTATGTTCTTACATATGCACTTATAAGATTTTTCCGCGTTTATTTTATTTTCAGTGAGTTCCTTCGAAATTTCTTCCCACTTCTCCATTGAGAGAATGAATCAATAATAAAAAAAATGTTTATTTAAACCTTATCCAGACCGTCAGCGCGGCTCTGGTATCTCTTTTTAAGAATTTTATTGTGGGTTGAGTAAAATTTCAAGAATAAACTCACTGCGTTGATAACAACGATAACTATAAGGTAAACTTTTATTGTATCCAAAGCTTCAGTGTGGTCTATTATCTGAACCGTGTTTACCACGTTAGCATTTGGATCACTGACCTTCGATTCTTTACCTCCCATCTTTAAAACCTCAAGCTCTTTTTCATAGTTGGGTTCCAAATTTGGTAAAACTCCATCCAAATTCCAATAAAGGGGGTTTTTGGAAAAATCTCTGGGCATCGTGGAATCAAGTATAAACAACAATTAAAAAAAAAAAAATTTTTTTTTTTTTTTTTTTTTTTATTTATTTAATTAAAAAAAAATCTCATTCAGAATATTATAGTTTTCTTAATTCGTAAATTTTTTCCATTTATTTAAGTCTATCATTATTTGTTGTGGCAAAATTTAGTGCCCTATATGTCAAAGCTATTTCTTTCTTCTTCCTGTATCGCTTTCCTCCTCGAGTTTGCTTTTTAGTTTTGAAAATGGGTGGAATCTTCGGTTCTTCCACCCGTCTTTGTAATTTGTTTCGCCGCCGATATTCCTCGATAGTTATCGGTTGCGGCCCTGTTTGTACAACTTCGGAGGTTTGAGGAACCTCCTCAGTTACTCTTGGAGGATCTTGATTTTCCCTCTCTGCCTCTAATGCGAACCTCTCCCATCAAAAATGGAGTCAAACTCCTCCTGGGAGATTTCTTGCATGAGAACAAGGAGGGAGTGAAGAAGAAGAAAGGAAAAAAAAATTATTTAATTTAATGAAAGCCAAAAAAAAAATCTATTATGAAACTTAAAATCTTCCTTTTAAAAAAAAAATTTTTTTTTTTTTTTTTTATTAATTTGGTAAAAAAAAATTACTTATTAGTTACCCTAAGCAGGAATCTGCTACTTGGCCGGCGGTAAACGCCGAAGATTTCTAAATATTAAAACTTATTCTATATATTTTTTTTTTACCATTACATAACTTATTGATAGCAGCTTATAATTGATTGAACCAATTGCATCCGTTCCTTTTGTTTGAATTAATTTTCCTCTGTTAACTGCAGATTTTAAATAGCTTTTGCGATCATTCTTTATGTTGTACTGATATATTTCCTGATAGTCAAAATTGATGATTTTTCGAGCATATTTACTAATGTATTCCTTCGTATTGTCCAAATTATGATCCACCGCATTATATTGAAACGTCAATTACACTGTGTTTTTTTTTTTTTTTTTTTTTTTTTTTGTAGCACAGTGTTATTTGTTGCGTTGGTGTTTTTTAGAAGTAGCCAGGATCAAGCTAGTCTGCTGAAAATAAAGCAGACTGGCAGGATCGCCATAACGAAGGTTTTAGTACTAAATAAAACGAGTTTTGTTTTTAGATGCAACTTCGCATGTCGCATAACAAAATCTGTCCTGTTCTTTATTGAAATCATCTTATTTATACTCTAACATCTGTCACAGGATAGTCGAGTTTATTTCAAATATAAATAAAACACCAATGGTTGTAGGCTGGCCCTGTCAAGGGGCAAGTATTGTAAATTAGTATTTATTCAAAGTATGTATTAATATTCAAAAAATAATGGAAAAGTATCCGCTCAGTGAAATGGTCACACACGTCTGTCTATGTTCAGCTTCGGTCGCTAACTGCTGCTTGTTTCATCTTCTCTTGTCTACTATTCGCTTGTCGCAGGGTTGCATGAAGTCGTACGTGACAGTTCGGCCAATCCTGACATTGGCATCGTCTCGATGTCACTGGCTTCATCTTCGTCGGAATCATGTTCATCTAATTCGGGCGGTATTATGCACCATGGTTTAATTTTATCTGATGCATATACTGAACAGAACCATTTTTGCTTGTGTTGCATACCATCGATGTCTTCGATCAGGTATCTATCGTTACCCAAAACTTTGGTT